CCCCAGCCCATTCGGTTCGGGCCACGACCGGGCAGAGCCGCTTTCCGGAGGGTGGTTCATGCCTCCAGCAGCTGGTGCTCCGAGGCAGGGGGCACGGCACAGCATGGAGAGAGCCGGGGAAAATGCACGAGGCGGAACAGATTGATTGGCAGGGGACCGCCCGCCCATGGCTGCCAGGAGGGGGAAGGTTTCCCGGGGGGGACGGGCCGACGGATGCAACCCTCCTCCCATCAGCAGCCGGGCTGGGAAGAGACCTCGTAGGAGATGCAGCTGGATGGAGGCTTCCCACGGGACCTGCACGTGGTTGCCCTAGAGAGGACGCGGGCGATTGTGACGGTGCCCAGGAGGGTACAGCAGGCTGGGCCAGAGGGAGCTCCGGGGCCAAGCTTCAGGGAGAGCGAACGTGGAGGGTGAAGGGGTCCAGGAGCACAAAATGCCCTGGACAGATGCATGCAAATCATGGAGGGTCTTCGAAGGATTAACGCTCCGCTCCGAAGGGGAGAGCCCAGGGTTTTCCACGAGCGGGTCACAGTAGTTGGACAAGTCACTATGGATCGAGCCCTGCTTTGGACTTGCACTGATGGGCGCAACCCAGCTGCTCCCGGCAGTCCAGGCTACCAGATGGATGCTGGCTGCATTGCTCTCACGTGCACAGCTGGCTAGAGAAGCTGGATGCCTTAGCCATGCTCACTGCACGGACCGCTACGCTAGAGGGTGGGAGAATAAAACTATGCAGCTGGCTACAGAAGCTGGATGCCTTAGCCATGCTCGCCGCACGGACCCCTACGCTAGAGGGTGGGAGAATAAAACTATGCTGGTGCCAGCACTTCCAGGATCCCGCTCTGGGCATAGCGACTCCCTTTCTGCAGGCTCGTGGCAGGGGGGCACAGACAGGCACATAGGAGCGGTGGTGCCACAGCAGGTGACGGACATATAGGGACATCAGAAGCTGGATGCCTTAGCCATGCTCGCCGCACGGACCCCTACGCTAGAGGGTGGGAGAATAAAACTATGCTGGTGCCAGCACTTCCAGGATCCCGCTCTGGGCATAGCGACTCCCTTTCTGCAGGCTCGTGGCAGGGGGGCACAGACAGGCACATAGGAGCGGTGGTGCCACAGCAGGTGACGGACATATAGGGACATTCAACGAGGGCACACCCGCCACGCTCCAAGGCAGGCCACAGGAACGGTGCCCGTTCAACCAACTGGGCACGGAGAAGGGAAGCAGAGATCACAGGGGACCCAAGCTGCCACTTAGGAAGCGGGCAGCCAGGTTAGGAGCCTGCCCTGTCATACGTGGCATTTGACCCTCAAGCATCAGCGCTGCCCGTTCTGCAGCAGAGATCCCCTCCTTGCAGCCCCCCAGCTCCAGAAGGCAGGAGTCAGTACCCTCGCCCCAGATGCATGCCCAAGGCTTGCCCTGGTTCTCAACCCTGCTGGCCTCGAGGCCTTTTACACAGGCACAGACCTCTTATTTTGGAGGAAAAAAACCAGGGAAACCGAGGCACATCCCGGAAGTCGGACAGGGACAAGAGCCCAGATGCCCTACGCCTCGCGATCCCAGCATCAGGCCACCCCAGCCTGTGGGTGTGCAAGCACCAGAGAAGCATGCGGACAAGAGGGGGCCGCTCGCCACTCGCACACTCGGCACGGACCGAGAGAGAAAGTAAACACAATGAGCACGGAGGGCCGGAGGCGTGGTGGGAGGATCAAAAGCCGTGGGGTTACAGCAGTGGAACTAAAAATAGACTCCCGCCTGGCTACTGTAATCATTGCAAGAAATTCACTTACATTTCCAGGGCTCGTTAGAGCCGGCGTGAACGTGCACGCAGGCCAAAGGCCCGGCTCTCTCCCGCTGCAGCTCAGCTCAGCGCTTGCTCGTGCAAGCCAACGGCTACCGCGAGAACGGCTCAGAGCACACGGACCGATCCTGGAGACCTCAACTCCGAGGCAAATGCCTTGACATTGGTGGGGCATTGCAAGTAAAAGGAGTCGCCCGCAAAAGGCCGGCACATTTTGCACCCCAGAGAGGTAGGGATGCAATACATAACCTCCTCCCGCTGCTGTTGGAGTCAATCAGGCTACTTGCATTGCTTAGTTTTTGCAGGGCTGGGTCTAGGAACAACCGAGAAATTTAGGTGGAACAAGTGGAACAGCAAAAAGAGAAAAACTCACACACAAAAACCCAACAACCCAGGGGAGGCAGAGTCTAACAATGCAGATCAGGCTTGCTATCTGACACCATCTAATAGCAATTAAAGAATATCCACCCAGTCACCATGTGCTCCCCCACCTCCCCAAAACCTATTTGTTACACTTAGCAGAATGGCAGATAGCGATCAAAAAGAAAGAAAGAAAGAAAAAAAAAAAAAGACGGAGCCTTCTTCAAACTCATATGGCATCTGTAGTTGATAACAGCCACCAAGGGGAAAAATAATCTTCTGAATTAAGTTTATTTGACAGAGAGTCTGTGTGTGTGTGTGTGTGGGGGGGGGGATGATACCCAAATAATATAAATAAATCAAGTGTCCATGCCAGCTGACCCCTCCTCCCCCACCCCCATCAGATAATTAAAATGCCTGCATTAATCACATTTGCAATGGAACAAATTGTTGGAGCCCTTTTGCCTCCTCTTTTCAGTGTTTGTTATTGTAGCGAATCCTGCTCCAGTCTGGTTGGTAGAGATAAGAAACCCTTATCGCACTTGGCAATCTTTATCAGTATGGAGATCAGGCCCCCAGCTTATCACGAATTTACATCTACTGTAGCTGAAAGCAGAATAGAAAGGGGAAAAATAGAAAACACACACACACACACAACCAGGCAGGCCCCTGCAACTACTGTGAGAATGTGCACTTCGAGTTCATGTCGAAAAATACACACGCACACACATGTACAGAGCCACATCAGCTGCACACGATCAAATGTCCCGGTTTATCAATCCCCCTAATCTCGAGAGCCAGAACTGTAACTGCATGTGCAACAGAGCTGCCAAAGGGTTCACTCATTTGCTGTATGTGCCCGCGCTCCCGTGTTTGAAGTTAATAAATATAACAGGCTATCTGGGTTGGAGATCAGCTCCCTGTGCTTTATCAGCCGTTCACATCTATCTAACAGCAGAACAAAAGAGAGAGAGAGAGAGAGAGAAAGAGCCAGCAGCTGCATGGAGGTTGCTGTTATTTTCATGGCCTTTGACAAGCGCTGATGGAGGGGGAGGGGAACACCGACAACCTTCATCGCTCCTGGGATCAGATCCTCTATCGGAGGTGCACCAACCGCCCCCAGATACCTGGCTCTGGCCCGGACACAGGGCCTCGAAGCACTCACCACAAGGCTTTTCTGTGACACCAAATACAGGACACACCAGGCACTCCCCCCCTTGCTATCCCAGCCACCATCAGCTCCTGCTAACAATCCGCTTTTTAATGCCATAAACTCCAGAGACAGCTCAAGTTTAACCCAGACCCAAGCTACGACGAGGGCTGGAGGCAGGCGCCGTCAGCACCTTCACGGAAAGGCACGGCCCCCAGGATTTTTATGCTGCGAGGTAAGGGGTTGCGATATGTTGGCTCTTCCCGACCCCCTGGGTGCTGAAGACGCACGTCAGGATGGAAGGGGCTCGCCAACCTCAAAAGCCTCCCTCCGAAAAAAAAATGAACGGACAACGAAATGGTTAAATAATAGTCCAGGGCTGATCCTTGTCTTATCGCGCTTGGCAATCGCTGGAGCTCTGAGATCTCCCTTCTGAGCCTATCTGCTTTTCACATCAAGCTGAAGGGGGGGGAAGAACAGTCACGGAGGAAGATAAAATAAGCAGATATGAATCTGGGGGGAGGTTTTAATGCTTCAGCTGAGCTGACAGCAGCCTGAGCTCTGGGGAAACAGGTCCGGTTTGTCCATTACAGGAGTCCGGTTACCAGAACCCCGATCCAGGCGTACTTCCCTCTCCTCGGGGGAGTGCAGCAGAGCCGGCACCGTGTGCTATAGGTTTGCAACGACTGTTTTCATGTTGACACATACAGGAAGGGTTCCCAGCTTTCAGCTGCTAATCAGTTTTGGCCATCAGCATCAGCCTGAGATCAGCCTCCCACTTTATCATTTCTTCACATCTCTGAAGAAAGCACAAGAGGAAGGAGATACAAGCAGCCTTCAGTGCAGCTAATGCATTCAGAGCACTGCCCATCCTGGCAACATCACAATCCATCTTAAGATCACCTTTTACTCCTGATTAAGCAGAGTACGCCTCGCAGAGCTGAAAACAGATGCCCAACAATGGCTTGGAGAGCCCTGACAACTCCCGCAGACAAACTGGATGGAAAGTTTAAAAATCGAGCTTGGCACCGGCGGAGGCTGAAGGGCAGGTTTACATGTTATTAGCCGGTCCCCTTCTCAGCAGCGCCTTGGCGGACCTGAAAGGCGCTCACTTCCTGTCACAAAAAGAGTGTGTATCCCACACACTGAAATACACTTATCGCAAGGAAGATCAGCATTGTTATTTCAGCAGCTGAGCGCTCAATGCAGACGCTACCACTCGCCGCTCTATTAACTTCAGCTAATTAAAATGGGATCCTTCCAGAGGAGTCCAGCTTGTTTCCTAACTGCCGTGGAGAACAGCCCTGCCCAAGGCACGGCCAGCAGAAAGCTGCAGAAGTTGGAGAAAACTTTAAAAAAAAAATTGAGAGAGAGGCAAATAGAAGTTAAAAATACTTCTCTCCCTGCTAAGGTTTGGCACAACTTTATCAACCCCATGATCACCCCAGGCTGGTGAACAGGTAGATGCAGCTCACTACTGCAATTACTTCAAGGGGAAGATAAAGCAGTATTATCACACGGTGGCCAGAGTTACTATCCCCACATCTCTGCATTATCTCTGCCTTAGATCTACTGGTGGGGCGGGGGGAGGATGACAAAATAACTAACCCTGTCCCTGGGAAACGTGCCAGCCGTTTAGAGAATTTCCCGGGAATAAGCAACAATCATCTCTTTCATCTCTGCCAGACCTGAAATCAGATTCTCCTTGGTTGATCAATTTGGAGCCCTGGGAGAACGGATAATCCGGAGGCACTCTCATCAGCCAGCGGAGACTTGGACAGAGACAGAAATATCAAGTGATCCAACCGCAGTCTGGATCGGCTTTTTATCAGGACAGCGACGGGGTCTTCTCACAGTCTTGTTGGGGCAGGGAAGGGGAACTGGAGGCAAGAGGCAGCAGGGGAGGGAGAACCCCCCTGGGGAGCATCCTTGGAGAAGGTATAAATTAAGAAAGAACCCAGCAAGCAGAGCCGGGAGCCGGATAAAGTCCCCCCCC